GCAGCGTTCTTCACCGCCACGAACAGCGTCAGCCGCAGATAGAGACAGTGGCGCGTCTCCTCTCCGGTGGCGTCGCCGGAGCCGTTAGCAAGACCTGCACGGCTCCGCTCGCTCGTCTTACCATCCTCCTTCAGGTCAGACCTGCATGCGCCTTGCGTTTATCTTCTCGCCAAAGCTCCTCTCTCTACATATCTTGCTATCCTTCGCAATCTTGGTTGGTACGGGCTTCAGTGTTGTTGAAGCTTGACTATTCCTTAGCTTCTAGTTTGTGGTGAACCACTTGGACGGAAAAGGATTGGTATTATTGTGGGGATTATGGTGTCTTGGATTTGTGATGGCTCCTTCAGGTCTAATTATGGACTTATAGGATGCTTGGTACTTAAGAGAAATTCTCAGGGTTCGACCACTGTAGCTGGGTGCTGCTCTCTAATAGTCCACAGCCCCATTTAGGTGAGTGCTGGCTATTCTGGATGGTCTCCGGAGGGCCTTACAGGAAGGAAGGTCTCCATAGCTCCTGGGTTAGATCTGATTTCTCGCAGGTTATTCCAAGGCAGCTGAAGGTATTCCTTGCTGCTGGGATACACCTGCATGCTGACTCAGAGCCTAATTCATGGAAGTCGAAGGGTATTTTGCAATTCTGTATCTATTTTGTATTTCTGTAGAACTTGTTAAGTAGCTTTATTTATGGGAAAGACGATAGGGATGCCCGCATCCTTGGTAATTTTGGTAGACCAAATTGAGTATCTTACCATTGGTGAAAATATTGTACCTCAGAACTTGTTCTGTTATCCTGAGATGTACTGTTCTGTTGATTCTGAATGAATGATTTGCTTATTCTCTCAAAAATAAGCTTTGACGAAGAAGCTCTAATTTTTATTTGTGATTTTTTCACTACAATTTAGGAGCATCAGATTCATTAAGTTCTTCGGTAGCTGTAATCTAATTTTTCTTTCCTGGTGTTTTTGTTCTATGAAGCTTAAGCAGGGGAAAAGATTATTCTGTTTTTTCTTTCCTGGTATATTCATCTCGTTTGTATCTATTTACACCATTTGATATGATGCATAATGGTTGTTTTTATGGCATAATTGCTTTTTAGGTGCAAGGCATGCATTCCGATGTAGCAACTCTAAGGAAAGCTAGTATATGGCGTGAAGCTTCTCGCGTTGTCTATGAAGAAGGTTTTAGAGCATTTTGGAAAGGGAATTTGGTGACTGTTGTGCATCGACTACCTTATTCATCTATTAGCTTTTGTTCCTACGAGTGGTACAAACATGTGAGTCTGCAATTTTGTTGGAGAAATATTTCATGGACTTGGTTGATTGCATGTTTCTCTTTAATACCTGATGCTTTACCACTGATAAGTGATTATGTTTTGATTTTATTTTCTTGCAGCTACTCCAGTTAATTCCTAGGCTGAGTAGGCATAGAAATAGTGAAAGCGCAGATGCATGCGTGCGACTGTTGGGTGGTGGTTTGGCAGGAATAACGGCTGCTTCCATCACTTATCCATTGGACCTCGTGAGAACTCGTCTTGCAGCTCAGGTAAGCTTATCATCTCGTGCACATGACCAGAAGCCATCAGTCCATTTCCTTCCAGAATTAGTACTTTCTTTAGAATGCATCAAGTAAATTGGATTTTTTGCAGGTGAAATAAGTTGGATTATTAAAATCAAAGAACCATCGCTTTAGGTCTTATTTTTTTGTTTGTTTTTCTTCTATGTGGTATTTTGTCTGTACGATGCACCACACGTTCTAGATGCACCATACATTCTAGGAGCTTAATTTTCTGTTGCTTTTAACATGGAACCATCTTTCCATGTACGATGCACCATACTTTCACATTGAATTAATTTTTCTATTGCCTTTTAATTTGCTGGGAAAGTATGTAAAATGTTAGACTGAATAGGTTTTCTATTATAACTGAGTCTTGGTCTCAGTGCTCTCTAGCAAACAGTGAGCATGTTTGGCTTCTTGTTAGGTACTGTAATTACATTGACAATCTCATGGTTAGGTATTTGTCTTTTAGTTTCCTAGTTAGCAATCATTATTTAGTCCTTTCAAGACTCTCAGGTGTATCACAATCTTGTTGGCTCTAAACTTTTGCAGACAAACACCATGTATTATAGAGGCATTTCACATGCCCTTTATGCTATTTGCAGAGATGAGGGTATCAAAGGGTTATACAAGGGTCTTGGAGCAACATTGCTGGTATTTTTTTGTTACATTTAATCTTAACACTGGTTGTACTGCTTTCAATCTATTTAGTTTTGCCATATTGCTGGATTGCAGGGCGTTGGACCTAGTCTAGCCATCAGCTTTTCAGTATATGAAACCCTGAGATCTCATTGGCAATTGAAAAGGTGATACTTTTAGGTTGGTGAACATTTTCATGTGCCGAGGAAATTATTCCTTCAGTCAATGCTAACATATGGATTTACGATTTTGGATGCCAGGCCACATGACTCTGCTGTCTTAGTTAGTTTGGCCAGCGGAAGTCTTTCTGGCATTGCGTCATCAACGGGTAAGAAACCAACAGACTTACAGCAGATTTATGAGTTGGTTTAACATGACAAATAAAAGGTCATCAGAATAATGAATAATGCAAGCTTCTATTCCTTAAAACCCCAAATAACTAATTGATGACAGGGGAGTATATTCTTGAACAGAGCACATATTTGCAGAAATTATTGAGAAGTTTATTTCGTTAGATATGACATATTCGATTTTCTTGGTAAACTTAATTAGGTCAAAAAAATGCCTGTTCCACTATCTTCAGAATGGCATTATTTACAATTATCACAATCAATTATGACTTTCTAATTATTGCTCTTTGCTTATGGTGTGCTTCATGGGAGTCTAGTTAACTATATCTATGATGAGCTTAAGATGCCGCCATTTGCTGCTGTCGAACTACTTTGTGACCTTTTTATTATTATACCCATCTTCTGATGTAGAAACTCGTATGTATTAAGTTAATTATTTTTTGAGACACTTCAGTGAGATGTGGAAGGTACATGCATCTTACTGATGATGTGCCACAAAAGGTTGGATTATCTAGCAATCAAATGAGTTAGTGGATTAATAATTGCACAAGTTGGAGAGTACACGTGAAAATGTCAGTTGTGCTGCAATAGATAGAGGAACAGTATAAACCAATCGAAGTCTGGCTTGGTTGCTATAACTAATGGTCGAAAACAGTATATCAACTGGATTAAATTGTAAAGCATAAGATGTGGTGCTTATGGTCTCTCTCCTAAGGGAAAAAAGTTTCCTTATGTGAACCTTAAATTTGTTACTTGATGGTAGGAATGGATGGATTGCAGCAAGTGCGCGATAATGGCATTTACATCATTATCGCTTTCTTTTCAGAATAATGGTTTCTTTGGATAGCAAGAGTCTGAAGTTGCCGAGACAACTTCATCCGGGTTTTTGGGTGGTACATGGGACTTCTTGTCAGGAATTCCTTCTCTCCGTGTCTGTCTTGCTCTTGTGGAACTTGCTTTCGCCCCCTAAGCCTCTTCAGGCTCCCTTTTCATCCCTATTGCACTTATTTTTGGAGTTACACATAGTTGGCGCATGGTTTGACGAATTATTTGTCATCAGTGTTGGTAATTTCTTTAGGCAGTGTCATGAAAAATGGATGTACCATGAAAAAATGCCTACATGTGCTCAATAACTGTTTTTTTTTTTTTTGTATGATGTTGCAGTGACATTCCCATTGGATCTCGTCCGACGGCGAAAGCAGTTGGAGGGGGCAGCTGGAAGGAGTCGTGTGTACACGACGAGCCTGTTTGGGACATTCAGGCACATCCTTGGCACCGAGGGTGTTCGAGGCTTGTACAGAGGCATTTTGCCGGAATACTACAAAGTTGTTCCCGGAGTCGGCATCGCTTTCATGACCTTTGAGGCACTAAAGTCATGCCTTTCTGGGTCACCTAATGAGCGGTAGCCCAAAGCACTTTCTGATCTTTAGAATCAGCTATTGATACTTGTTGAGTTAATTGGAGAGAGCTCGAAGAAGCAACCTTATGGAACCACCTGGTGGTAGAACTTTTGTGATTGCGACATCAACATGTGATCTATATTTACGTGAGAAACAGGTCAAATTGTATTTAGTAGGCTATGCACGACAGTCATCTCTCAGTTTTGTCATCGGCATTTCTTTTATAACTTCCTGCCTTCAACATGTGATCTATATTTACGGCATTTCTTTTCTCCAGCAGCGTATAGTATATAATTGAATGCCAGAAAAAAAATGCTACTACAAAACGTTGAAAATTACACATGGAAAGGTTGTTTGAGCACGAGACTTGAAGCATCATTTCCAATGATACAAAACTTTGAAGAACAAATACATAAGGGGTGACTAAGAGGAACCTCGTAGTCGTGCAATGATCAAGCTCGTTTGAAGTATTGGGCAGGGGCCGCGGCGCGCGCGTTCCCCCTCTACCACAAATTACGACGTCCACTCTCCCACTTGGGGAGATGGTAAGCCAGTGCTCCTCCCAAGTGCAATGGAGGCCACTAGCCTAGGCCATGGGCCATCTTGATCGCCCATCGACCCCGTCCAGGTAAGTATGGACAAAAGGCCGGGGGAAGCACTTCTTGACGACCTCGCCTGTTCCCCTGTTCCAGAAATCGTCGATGTGGGACTAATTGCCATCATTCGAGTAACCAACCAGTCAGGAGACCTTTTACTTTCGCCCTGTTCCCATGCACTGTAGGTGATTGCCTTGGACCGTCCGATGTCCACCCAAAACCCAGCCGGAATCCTGAACGAAATGAACCAACCCCGGATGAGTTGGAGGGCAAAAGTTCATGAAGCGAATGGCTTCTGTGGCAGCAAACCTCAAACTGGAAGAGTTTATAGCTTTGGTCGACTCTTTAGGTCGGATCGCATCTGTAACGTTTGATTCAATCTATGATTGTCTTGTCCTATTGATTCCGCTCGGGCTTGATTGTGGTTAACCGACTCACTCTGACATATCTCTGACTCGGGGAACCACTTAGGGTTTTTTTATAAGCGTGGGCGGCGGTAGAGGGAGACGGAGAGAGAGCGGGAGAGGGGATGGCGGTGGACATGGGGAAGCTGCGGTGGGGAGAGCTCGATGACGACGCGGAGGACCTCGACTTCTTGCTGCCGCCGCGGGTGGTGGTCGGGCCGGACGAGAATGGTGTGAAGAAGGTGATCGAGTACCGGTTCGACGACGAGGGTAACAAGGTTCGGGTCACCACCACCACCCGCGTCCGCAAGCTCACCCGCGCCCGCCTTAGCAAGCGCGCCCTCGAGCGTCGCTCCTGGCCCAAGTTCGGCGACGCCGTCCACGAGGACGCCGGCGCCCGGCTCACCATGGTCTCCACCGAGGAGATCCTCCTCGAGCGCCCCCGCCCCCCCGGTTCGACCCTTGTCTTCTTCTTCTTCTTTTTAATCACCTTCTGGTTCCTCTTTGTTAGGCTTTTAAGTCAATTAAATTCGATTAGTTCTCTTCTACTTGGCGTATGTCTCTGTGGTCAAAAGAGACGATCGATAATTGAACTTCTTTTAAGAATTCTTATTTCTGATCTGTGATGTGTCAATTTACTAGTATTTTTCTTTCTCGATCAATAAAAAGATATCTCCTTTTTGTGCAAATTGACATTTCTTACAGATGATGTTGCCTGTTCCTGGATCCGTGATGCAAATCCATATCTTTACTGTCCTAATTGGGACTTCGGGGTGTGGGTGATTTAAGGGATTAATCTGGAACTGTCCTTATGCTTTGTTTTCCATTGGATATTTCTGATCGGATTAGAGCCTGAAGGCCAATCACTAGATCCTGATTTTGGTATCTGTAATGATTTAGGTGTGCATGACCAGGCCGCAGACTGTTCACCTTTGTTGTCTTCTCCATGAACAGTAGCCCTCCACTATACTATATTCTGCAGTCTTCGGTATATTAGAATAAGATCCCTAATGAAATCAAGGGCTTATGATTATACTTAAAATGCGAGAGTTGCAAGTAAAAAGTCTTGTTTGGAGAGTAAGAATAAAATGGGGATTCTTAATGTTACACTCGGGAGTATTGTCCCATGCCTCCTTAGTCCATACTAAGAAATAAGAATAGCCTCCGCTATGTATCTTGTCTGTTGGGTTATTTGTGTGTATATATGTATATATTATCTATAATTACCATAAATATTTTATGAACATATACATTTCTTTCCCTGTTTTGTTCTTGGGTGTTGTTTCGGAAGTGGAAACTCCCTATTTAATTGATAATTGGCAAGCACCTTATGTCCTTAAAAATTGGGGGTTTAGGTATCAACTGACGAAGGTATGGTTCTTTCACAATGCATTGGTACTGAAGGCGAAAATAGATCTGATGAATGGAAAGTCTGAAACTAAGGAAAGATCTCCCAGTATATATTTCTTTTGATAGGTTCTTTTTTATCTACAAGAGCATCTATTACTACATTAACTGTTTTATAGATGGACATATTTTATTCCAGTTCCTTATTTGTATTTGTTTTGAGAATCTATTGGTGATCTTGGGAACTCTCTGTCGAAGAAGCCAATGTGAATCATCTCATGTCTGTAAAGATTTGAGGTCTAGCTATCGACCGGTGAATGCTTGGATCTTCAAATACATTGGACTGTTTTCGCTTGTTTACATAAAGTGCAGATTTTTACATCATCGATGATGTTTAAGAACAAATTCATATTGAATCATTTTTAGGAATTGGCAAGTATTGTAATGATAAAAAGACTAGCCTCTGTTGCTAGTCCTGTTGACTATGTTGATGAGACTTTTCTCCTGGGTGATCAAAGATAAACATGGAATACATTATGTGTGGAAATTGGGCCAAGTAGTACAATTTTAAAAGCACTTTATTACTAGTCTTGTTTATATTAAAAGTGGGCAAGTGGTTTATGTTACATTTACTTTAGTCGATGAGAGTTCATTGACACTGAAATAACAACACCATATTGTTGTATGGTACATTATAGGCAGTACATGCACAATTGTATTCTGTACTTGTAGTAACTTAAGCAGGTCAAACAGATGTATCATTGATGTTTCAGGCATGTGTGATGATCGGAAGCATATATTTGTTCTGATCTATCCTTTGACTGAGGGGGGAAGATTCTTTGTGTTTTTACCACTTAAGTGTCATGTGGAAGAGGCAAGGTGGTGCATGTGAAGGTGGGTGGGTGTCTCGACATCAGATACAATCTCCTTCTCTGTTATGGCAAGGGAAATTTAGAATGTCTCAGACAACAATGTGCTGTTCTATTAAACAATAGTTTCATCTCAGAAGCAATTTATGGAGACTTTGAGCTTTGAGGCTAGTGCTATAGACATAAAAAAAACAACACATATGTATCTTGGTGTTAGGGAGTTTTAACATCATGGGTTACCTCCTGTCTGAGGTTACCATCAACAAATGAGACAATTTGTTGTTTCTTCAGGCAAAGTTTGTTTTTATTTGATATCTTTAGCAACAAACTAAAGTAAAAATTATCTTTCAAGCATACATAAAAAATAGTTAATCTGATTTTTTAAATTATATTTGTATCATTCGATATGCAAAAAAACAAGTCTTTTCTAAATTCAATCTGTTATGTGTGCTTTGTTTCTAATTCTCTCATTTCTTTGGTGTCCATCGATCCCCATCTTCGATAGGCAGCAAAGCGGAAGAACCAAAGGTTGCAGGGGATCCATTAGCTGCCATGGGCAAAGCAGGTGCTGTCCTCATGGTATGCAGGACTTGTGGTAAGAAGGGTGACCACTGGACATCGAAGTGCCCTTACAAGGATCTGGCGCCACAAACAGACAGCTTTATCGACAAGCCTCCTGGTGCTGAAGCTGCAGCTTCCACCACAGGCACTGGCAAGGGCACCTACGTGCCTCCTAGCATGAGAGCAGGTGCAGAGAGGAGCGGGACAGAGATGAGGCGTCGTAACGATGAGAACTCGGTTCGTGTGACCAATCTGTCGGAGGACACCCGTGAGCCTGACCTGTTGGAACTCTTCCATACTTTTGGCCCTGTCACTCGTGTGTATGTTGCTGTGGACCAGAAGACCGGGTTTAGTCGAGGATTTGGCTTTGTCAACTTCGTCAACAGGGAAGATGCAGAGAGAGCCATCAACAAGCTTAATGGCTATGGCTACGACAACCTTATCTTACGGGTGGAGTGGGCGACTCCAAGGCCGAATTGAGACTCTAATTTCTGCAATTTGTTTAGCAGATTCTGTTCTTAACATTTAGCAGATTCAGTGTTTTTGTCATGTGGCTTTATAATTTTGTTTATGGGTGGAGCGGGCGACTCCGAGGCCGAATTGAGACTCTACTTTCTTCAAGTTGTTTAGCAGATTGTCCTTAAAGATGATCACTGTTTTTGTCATGTTGCTTTATACTTGTCCTAGAAATTTGTTTTAGATTTGAATTATCTTGGCAAGACGACAATGCATATTTATGTTGAGGATATCTCATGTTTGCACTATACAAGCAGTCAAATGGATTGAAATCTCCTTTTTGTGTGCTCAGTTTCCATTACTGTTTCTTCCTATTATATTTCTAGCATCTCAACATTCTTGTTCGACCGGAGACCACAGCGTCAACCTAAATTTCTGTTCCTTTCAACTCTCATCCACCATGCAATGAGTGCACAACTCCTTCTTCTTCTTCCATCATATATTTTTTTTTTCTTCGTTTTTGTCATTTATCCTGTGTAAAAATAAAAGAAAATGATGATCTATCTCTCTCCAACCATGTTTTCGAAGAATCTGTATTCAACCTTTGATGCAGTCTGTTCTCACGAGATCGATTAAACAAACAGCTGAAGAAGACAAGGAAAGATGCTCTCGACGTAATTTCTTTGTCGTTGCAATTGTTCTTTACTAATCGTCTCTACAGCTGACGTACGAGCTGATCGCCGGAATTCGCTCCTTGATTAGCTTAATAAACTCAGCCAAAGAAATTTCTCTACAAGGTGATCGCTGCTGTCCCACTCGATCATTCCATTGCGGAGAAGTAAGCCGTCGGAGACACGCAGTTTAACCCTCCTCAGAAACGCACAAAGGAGAGGGATCGATGCATGTGAATCAACAGGTCCGATGTTAACCGAGGTCTAAGATTAGGTCGGCGGCTTCATGCATCGGTGTCGTCATAGATTGAGTTGGGACCTCATGGGAGCCAGCAAGATCTTGTTTGTTCTCACCATAAAATTATGTCCTACGTGAGGAAAGCTTCCACAACATCATCACGAACCGAGTTTTAAAGCTGTTTCTGATGATTGCGTATGATCAGCAAAACGAGAACTCCGTGTGTTCGAGCAGGACCAAACACGTGGTATTAATCAGCTTTAGGTCTTCTGCATTCATATCTTTCCTGCACTAAAAGATGAAGATGAACAAAGTAATACGGTTGGTCTTCTCTTCTTGTAGCAACAGCAAACATAGAACAAACCGATAGCTCTTTTGCCTTTGTGGCCATGATTTAGACTTGAGCTGAAGCTGTGAAGCCGAAAGAACAGTGACAAGACCATTAAGTAATGCTTACCGAGGTATGTTTTGTTGTTGTTGTTGAATCCAATCCAAGTCTGTTCATAAGGGTAGAATTCAACCTGGGACTTAATTATAATGGGGAAGGAAGAACGAGTTGTGCAGATAAAAACAGAAGTAGGTTGAGAAACAAAAAGCACCTAAAAATTACATCGAAGAGACTTTCTAGGCGTAGCATTCCCTCCATAGATTCTCATGTACCTGTCTTTGTCCCCAGCTCGGAGGATATAGATGTTTTGTCCTCGGGGCTTCCCCTCTTCTTCTCCATGGAGTTTTGGAAGTGGGCAACGACAGAATACAGCAGCAGCGGGCCTCGGATCCCCGGGCTCGTCGTGGACGAGTCGTGGGAGGACGCTGCAGGCCGGTCGGGAGGCTGCGTGTGGCCGCCGAGATCTTACTCCTGCAGCTTCTGCAGACGAGAGTTCCGGTCGGCGCAGGCACTCGGCGGGCACATGAACGTGCACCGAAGAGATCGAGCCAGGCTCAAACAGTGTTCGAGCCTCAGCGGGGAAACCACGGACGACCATCGACGTCCAGATCCTCGTAGCCCCCCACTCGTCCTCCACCCTGCCGCTAACCCTAACCCTAATTCCGGTGTCGTACCACCGAAACCTGCTCCGCCTTTCTCTTCCAGCATCACTCGAGACTACCTCACAGGGTCGCACCTCTCCACGATCAGATCTCCGGAAGACTCCACGGCACCTCTCCATCTCCTCGTCGTCTCGGAGTCCGGCGTTCTGGGATCATGGACAGATCCAGAAATCTCCGACGAGGAGACCAACTGCAACAAGAGGAGGAGAATTGAGCCCACGCCCGAAGGCTTCTTCCTTGCAGCCTTTTCTGGTGATCGACGATACGAGGTACTCGATGATAACCCCGTCCAGGAGTTGGATCTCGAGCTTAGGCTCGGAGATGCTCCTAAGATCAAGTAGAATCAAAACCCTTTTGTCTGAATCTTTATGCACCTCTCATCATTCTTCCATCTTCCAACTCATAGATTTCCTCTTAGTCATAGATTGTGATGATAAAGACGAAGATGTTAGGTTTGGTTGCAACTGTAAAATGGTCGACTACAATCTTTCTGAAAATAAGATGCTCAAATCTTTTTCGAGAAAAATTATCCCTTTCTCAATCTTTATCTTTGTCATTTGATCCAATAGCTTTTGATAAGTACTTATAACTCTCACAGATGGAGTATTACATTGGAAGGATCCATTAGATAACAAAACATTGCTTCTAAGTCTCGATGAATCAATCATATTATGATCGGTTTATTCTTGTGAGTTAAGCATATGGAATGTCTCTTCCTCATCGGTACACAGATTCCCTTTTACGAAGCATTCCAAGACATGATGGGATGTCTCTTCCTCGTAAATCCATCTATTTGTTCTTCAGGGCTCCGCAGGGAATACTTGCACTGCTTTCTTCACTGCTCTCTTTTGTTCCTTCTTCTCCATGTCTGCAACCTGAAACCCTAATCGTATGTGGTCATGGCATCGAAGCGATACAAAACAATGGAGGAAAGGAATGAGGAGGACAAGCTGTGGCACTCCATAATTCTTTGTTTGAGAGTGGTTGGAACAAAACATTAAGAAAAGCTTGAAGAGAATATGGAATCAAATGTACTGCTCAGATTATTATTATTATTATTATTATCTCGTAATGTTTTAGCAACAATCCAAGTTGTGTGTGGCAGATTCCCTCTCACTTAGAACATGTTTTGTAAGTTGTGACTTGCTCGACTCACATGCAAAGGCAAAAGAAGAGTACAACACACTGATCATAGATTGCAATTTAAGTTGTGATATAGCCGAGTTATAATGATATTTTTAATTTACGTCTCGCACGTGGATGATCGAATCATTCCATCGAAAAAATAATCGGTGATCTTTGCACCAATCACCAAAAAATACTCGATTTGTTGCTTCATCTTCTAATGACGAATTGTAATCGTAATGTTCTAATCTCTTTTCATAAATATAAGAGAAAAAAATAAAAATTATAATTCATCTTCTGGTGGTGTATTTGGCTGAGGGGCGAGGCCAGGTGGTGGATGGGAATGTGGTGGGTGATACTAGCAACCACCTTCACTAACAAGTATGAGTAGCTATCTCTCCCCATCGAAGAGGAGCCGATAGGGATGGTCTAATCGCCAATTATTTTTCTTCTTTAACATGAATTAAATTTATCGTAAATAATTTTTTTTGTTTAAATTGTATGATTAAGAAAATAATTACAATTTATTTTATATGGATAAGTTATAAATTTTATCACTTAATTAAATTATTATTTAATTTATTTCTATAATTTAAAAAAATAAATAATTTAGATTTTATTTATGTGTCTAAATCATAAGAAATAAATATTATAATTTTATCTATGAAAAAAATTAAAAAAAAATAAATAAATATTAAGCCATGAGCCAAACATTTGGTAGTGGGGCCAAGTGCAATGGGACAAACAACTCGGTGAGTGAGAGTCTTCATCTTCCCCCGATAGAAGGAGAAAGAAAGGAAATCATTGTTCGAGGAGAGCTCAGCTTCTTCTAAGGGGTTCCCCTCTCCTCGTCCCTTGCTGGCCTAACGATAAAACATTGAGGAGAGGATTCCAAAAAAAGGATTCTATTTTTTTTTTTCATATCAAATTTTTTTCATATTTTAAAATTTTGATATTAGAATTTATATAATTTATATACTATATAATAATATATTTAATTTTGAAATTTTTATTATTAATAAAATAATAATAATTAAATCATAATGTTAAAAAGATTAGTTAATTTAATAAATAATTTTAATTTATTTAATTAGATATACTTCTATTTATTGGAAGTATATGTGAATTTTTATGATTTAATTAGTTTTAAATTTAGAATCATAAATCTAAATTAGTTAATTTATGAAAAATAATGGATTTGAGATTACTTATTATTTTATAATATTTTAAAGTACTTTTAAAAATATTAAATTTTAATTTAATCAGAGTTAAGCCCATATGATCAAGTATAATCCAATCTATGTGACTAGATATAACTCAACTCATGTGATCAAGTACGATCTAACCCATATAGTCAAGTATGACGTAACCTATATAATCAAGCATGACCCAGCTTATAGTCAGACATACCCAACCTATGTGGCTAAACACGACTGTTAGGATCGAGGTCGGCACTAAGAGGGGGGGGATGAATTAGTGCAACGGTAAAATTATGTCGGTTTTGAGAAATCTTTTCGTACGATGCAAACAAAACTCGAAAATGATTAACTTTGAAAGTGAAGTAAGAGTGTATTGGAGGCAGTTTGTAGTTAATGTAATTTGCAGAAAGTAAAATGTAAACCAGATTTTATAATGGTTCGGTCGTCGTGACCTACATCCACTCCGTCGATTCCTCTTCCGTCGAAGCCTTCTGTCGATACATTGACCGATCCTCCGGCTCGACGTCCAATCTTCTAACATGTTTTCTTCCGGCATAATATGATTTTTCTTGCTTTAATTATCTCATCCTGATCGAAGCATCCTGCTTTACTCAAAACACAGATTAAATCATAAACACTCTTAATTGGTTTCATCATCAAAATCCGAGATTCAACAATGACCCCACCCGCAAACTAGAAGTGACCTTGTTTAGTAGTAAGGCTTAGCTTAACACATGAGCGAGACTCAACCCAACTCGCGAAGCTAAGACTACTCAACTATGTGATTAGCGTTAAACACATTATTGCTTCTCTATCTAACCCATTGTACCCCAACCAAACCTATTACCTAAGACATGTATGTGTGGTATATGTGACTCATCCAAGGCTTAGGTGGATCCGTTTGATTTGGACTAGTACTATGTGACATAGTTCAATTTTTCTTCTTTTTATTGATATGAGCTCATTAATTGATTAAATCATATAGGCTTAATCGATCCAAACTAGTTTAATGTAATTTCATACCAATTTGATTGATTTAAACTCATTTAACCTAATTAAAATCAATAAAATATTAATTAAATTAGTTTATGGTGATTCTGGATCGATTCTAAAGATTTGAGGTTGGTTCCATTATGTAATAATTGAATTGAGTTTGATCCGAGTCAATTAAGACATTTCAATTATGATTATAATTGATCGAGGACTATTGAGAGATTGATACCTCATGTCTTTATAATTTGATGAACTTAAAAATTTTATCTAGATGTGCCATTTGAAAATAATTAATATTATTTTATTTTAAGATTAAAATTGATGAATCTTTCATCTATGAATCTTTAAGAATTTCAATCAAAATCTATAATGTTCGATAATAATAATAATAACAATAATATTATTATTATTCTCCTTGTTGAACAACTTATTCAATTTGTTTTTCACTTGTATCACCTAACTTTTATTTCTCAAGTGTGAATCTATTCGCACAACTTTGACATCGGATGTGGTACAAGTCAGCGATTGGCATGTTCGAGCAATTAAATTCTCTTTGTTTGATGCTTCCCTTCAAAGTCTCCTTACGAGACATAAACGTCACACCTGACTTCATTGAACTTATTCTACAAGTTCGACTTGAATTCCATATTACTGGTTGGATAACTCTACATGACATCACCTCAACAAAGAAATAATTCACTCACGCAGAACGAGAGAGAGAGAGAGAGAGAGAGAGAGAGAGAGAGAGAGAGAGAGTTTGCTTTGGTACTTATAAGTTCCAACATATGTGCCGGAGTTCCCCAAAGAGAAGAGAAGGCCCACTTCTGCATTATTGCATCATTAATGCCATGCATTACGTTCCTCGGTGGAATTTGTGCATGGACGTGATGGGGAAGGCAATCGAACGCATCGTAGACGACGACGAGGATTTCCTACAGCTACTATGGATCGTAAGCTTATGTGGACGCTGTACCTGATGAGGTTGACTTCGATTTCCTCACGTGTGTTTTGACTGGAAAAGGGTTTGTCGGACGTCGCAGCACTGATCGGATCTGAAGACCAATTCAAAGAGGGGTTTATCGAGGAAGGATGTGATCTCACTAACCCAATGACGACGCTTGGACCAGAACACCGATGGTCAACGTTATGGTCCACAGATTCTCAAGCAAAACAAGTGGCTAACAACTGTAACGGGTAAACATGCATGCACCGTGTGACGCCGACGGCCACCGGACGCGCACGTTAAGTGATGGCAGCTGCAGGCGGCCCGTCCCACCCCACACACTACGGGCGTCGCCGTGTCGTCGACTTTGGGACGCAAACAACGCGCCGTGGCCATTGAACTCCAAAGCTGGGCAATGCGTTGACCAAACCTGTGAGTGAGAGAGAGAGAGAGAGAGCCCGCGGGAGGATTAGATTAAGAGGAGAATAATACGTATACCTGCTTTGTGATTGGCGGTAGGCATGTGGGCCAAGTAAATGACACGTGTAGGGAAAGCACAAACAGTGCGGCGGTAAACGCAGTTGACTTTGCGCCTGCGATCTCTCCTTGTGTCTACATTGCCGACCTGATTCATCGATATGCTTATCTCCATACGTTTCGTTTGCGGCGATTCCTCTGCTGTCGGGCAACCGCGTCCCCCGAGAAGAGAAGGCTCTAGGAAATGGCGATGCGCATGCCGTCGCCATCCTTCTCCCTCATATATCCCCACACTGCTACCACCGAATCCAATTCCAGTAGCAGTTATCAGAAGCATTAATCCGAACAGTCGAGCAACGCCGAGCTGATCCCGTTTCTCTGTTTTTGTCTTGTGCTTCTCCCTTCAATTCTTGTGTCCTGCTACATGGGAGTTCCGAGGGTGCTCGCGGATCTCCGGACCCGAATGGGCAGCATCGACCCGGAGCGACCTGTCGTCGGGATCCTCGCGTTTGAGGCCGCGGCCGCTATGTCGCGTCTCGTCTCCCTCTATCGCTCCCTTGCTGACGACGAGGTCCGCCGACTCCGCACGGATATGCGCTCCCAGGGCGTGGCCTACCTGACCTCCAGGGACCAGCTCTTCCTCCTCCGCCTCGCCTGTGCCGAGCTGGTTGCTGAGCTCGATAAGGCCGCCTCTGTTGTCTCCCGCCTCGGCGCCAAGTGCTGCGACGCCCTTCTCTCGGGCTTCGACCGGTGCTACGCAGACCTCAAGGCCGGCGGGGTCTACTCTGCCCCTACCGGCGGCCGCGTCGCTGACTTGGAGAGGGTCGGGCTTGGCTCCACCGCGAAGGGGGTCGAGAAGCGGGTCAAGAGGATGGAGAGGTACGTGGCGACGACCTCCCGGCTGCACGCGGAGATGGAGGCGTTGAACGAGCTGGAGGCGTCCGAGCGGCGGATGGAGCAGCAGTGGCGGCGGCACAGCGGCCCGATCCCGACGCAGAAGCCCGGCGTCCCCTCCGCCGTCCAGCTCGATCTCCGTTCGCAGCGCCACAAGGTCCGGCGGCTCAAGGAGGAGTCCCTCTGGAACAAGACCTTCGACAAGGTCGTGAAGCTCATGGTCCGCGCCGTGATCACCGTTTTCGCCAGGATCTGCGCCGTCTTCGGCCCCTGCGTCCTAGGCTTGCCTCCGCTACCCAACAGAAACCGTCGGACTCTGTTGCTCCGCGGCGGCAACCCACATAACCCCAGCAAGCACTCCTCGGGGCCGCTCGACCGGCCGCTGGCGATGGCCGTCCCCATCCTGAGGAATTCAGCTCCCATATTCGTGGCCAAGGGATCGCTCAAAAAGCCGTTCGAGAGTCTGAGCAGCCTGTTGGAAGCAGGCCCGACCACCGTCGGGGGGTCGGGATTGGCGTTGCGGTACGCCAAAGTAATCGTCCTAACCGAGAAGCTACTGGCGATGAGGTCAGTCGACAGCCACGAAGCCGAAGACGAGGAGGAGGAGGCGACGAGGGCGGAGTTGTATCAGATGATGCCGTCGGCGATGCAGGGTGCGGTAAGGGCCAAGCTGAGGGAGTGCTGGAGGAGGGAGGGCGGGACGGTGGACGGGTCGCTGGCGGAGGGGTGGAACGAGGCGGTCAGGAGGATCCTGACCTGGCTAGGGCCGGTGGGGCACGACACGCTGCGGTGGCAGGAAGAGCGCCAGATGGAGCGGCAGCAACGGTTCGACCCCCGGCCGAGGGCGCTGCTAATGCAGACCCTGCACTTCTCGGACAGGGAGAAGACGGAGGCGGCCATCGTGGAGGTGCTCGTCGGGCTGAGCTGCATGTGCTGGTACGAGGAAAGAAGACGCCACTCGCTCAGATTCTAAGTTGCAGGAAGGCCGATTCCAGGCACAGACCTCCTCTGGATTGAAGAAGGTTAATGGTTTGCTAATTCGTGGCCGCCAGTGGGGAATTCGTAAAGACAATTCTGCTCGACACAGGAGTGTTTGCTAATTCCTCCGGAGATCTCTTATACTATGTTGGTTTGTGAGTACCATTCATTCATTCATGCATCTTCTTCTCCGATGGATGGAATCATGGCATCTCTGTTCTTTCTTGGACTGTCATGGGTTGGTATGGTCTTTGCAGATAGCAAACCAGAGACCTTGATTTCTTTTCGTCCTGCTCTCTTATGATGAGCTGCATGCCAACGTCGCTTGTTGGAGCAGTATATGTGTTTGACTTTGGTGCCAAGTCGTTGTCAGTTTACGTAAAGCTATCGAGTTGGTCAAGCCATCTAAGATTCGATGAATCCAATAAGATTTTAGGTGGTGGGGGCTGTCTTCATGTCGTGCAAAAACGATAAGAGCTTTTCCCAGTGTTCATGTCTTTTAGGACCTCTGTTGTTAGCTTAACTTTGTAACGTTAATTATGATCAATTAACATAAGTTTATTGTACTTGTTTGAAGATTATAGTAAGACAACACAAAGAACTATAATGTCACCAATCCCAGAGTTGGAATGCATCCATTCATCTACACCCACCCACGTAGAGCAATGCGGACGGATGGCACCACCGTCTGCCGTCCACGGATGCCACTTCAACCTCGTCAAAGGGAGTTGCGCCGTCTACCAAGCTAGCTATTGCACGTTGCGCACCATGGAGCACTGGAACTCGAAGAGAGGGACCAGAGACGCGGGTTCCGCGGCCGCCACGGCCAGAGCCGGGTGACGCCATCCCTCCGGCGGAGATGGCGGGGAAGTCGTCTCCATGCCCACGTCCCCACCGGCGCCATCGACGCCTTCGCCCTCCTCCCCTCGGGAGCCTGTTTCCTGAACGTCCCACAGCGGCGGAGACGGCACAAGCGGGGACAGCAAGGGGATCGGAGCGGAAGTAGCGGCGTTCTCCGGCGACGCAAGGGCGTCCTTCATCTTGGCGTCGAGCTGTAGCGATCCCGGTGCCTGCCTCTGGAGCCGGCTCGGGGGCTTCTCGGCTTCCTTGCCGTTCTTGCCGTCTCCTCGTCTTGGGATCTTGATCTCCATGGCGTTCGGGGTGCGGAGACGGAGATGTGGAGAGGAGATTATATGATCGCAGCTGGGGTGGAGGTGGTCACCGTCACCCGGATGTGGAGGCTGTGGATGCGGGGAAGGAGATGCCAACTTGAGGCGTCGATAGGGAGGCTGACAGAGTGGACATAACCGTCCTCATACAATTTAGCAAAGATCATGTTGAGATCCAAACCAACATGACTATTTCTTTGGTCCGAGAATAGAGGAGGCATTTCATTTCAATCAATGATCACTTTTTAATTTCTTGGAATCTAAATCATGCCATTACCAAAGCAGCAAAATGCAATTTTTATTTGAGGAACAAAGCCTTATACATCGATCCTACAGTTGTTGAAGGTCAAACTGGCGCACGGCAGGGGGCATTTGGGACATCATCGACGGCAACGATCCCTGCACTCGCCCTCGGTAGGAAAGCACGCAGAACCCGGCGCCAACCTGCAGCAGAAGCATTGGTCGCCATTGTCGCAAGTCGTGGGGTAGCAAGCTGCGAACTTGCTTCCATATTCGATGCTCTCAGGGCCGGCGTTGGACGATTTCTCCGGCAGCGTCGTCACGTCCCGGCCTGTTAGAAACGAGAAGGGAACAAGACGAAGTTACATGCCATAGCTTCGAAGAGATTCCGGCTTCCTTCTCAGAATCTTAAAGAGGGAGGGAGGAAAACAGTTGTAGTTGGCAAAGAGTTTCTTACAGTGGTCAAGAGGCAGGAGAGTGCCGAGAAGGAGGAGCACCAAAACCGCGCGCCCAGCTTTCATGTTCGCTCCGACGCTTTGGATGGAGTCCATGAGAATGAGAATTCATGGAGGATTTAAGCTTCTGGACACGAAACCAGTGATGATTCCAGCAGTAGATTGGAAAAGATATGCTGTGATATACTGAAAGATGCACTGACGAGTGCAACAGGGAAGAAGACCTTAGAATTCAATCTCTCTTTTTTCCATGTGCCCCACGAATTCTACTGAATGAAATAAATTGTATCGAATAATTGGTGGACGCTTGGAAACATATCTTATTTGTGTGCCCCACTGCACCGATAAATTTTTAAATAAAATATTTGATATAATACTTATGTATGTCATGTTCATGCTTTGCACAACACGTAGAGGGACAATCGAAGGCTTAATAGTCTCAATTTAGTTAGGTTTGATGGTCATTTTAGACTTATAAATAAAGGTTGTGTCATGTAGACATTGGTGAGAGATTTTCGATCTATAGTGGACCATTTTGACCATTTGTTGTGCAACTGTTCAGAGCTTGTAAAGTCTGTTTGTAATTTGCATTGTCTATGAAGTGTTTTTTGGAATGTTTGCTTGTGGCTCCCGAGTGAGACGTTTTCTTTAACCCGTTTTCTCTTTTGTATGTCCTTAGGGAACATGGGAGGTTTCGAGAAGGTTGACCTTTGCGTACGGACACGTAAGGGTGCCGCACGACTTAGGCAAAACCAGTTAAGTCCGTGACAGATGGTATCAGAGCCGGACAAGACCTCATAGAAACACTTGGCATGCAAACGTGGGGGACCTAGCGAAGCTGCGTTAAGGGCAGTCAGCACACGCGCGACCGTTTGGGGGAAAACGGGCATGGAGATGTTGGGAAAAGGAGTCGCTCGGAGGAGTGGGCATCTGAGTTTAACATTCAGAGGAATGGCTAACCCTTCGCGCGAGAGGCACCACGAGAACAAGCAAGCTTGGAAGAATGCGGAGCACACAAAAGTTGGGATGGCTGAGTTTGAGCTACGGCTCAATGTTGACAACTATACTTAATGGTGCTCAAGGCAAGCGAGGCGCTTGGTAAAGGATGAGACCATGCAAGGTGAAATGAGTTGCTCAGCGACCAAAAGAGTTGTGCAAAGCTCACAGAGGTGAGGGGAATTGCTAACTCGAAAAATTCGGTACTCATGCATGGGCTTGTATGCGGATGATGGAATGTTCGCGGCCATCCCAAGGTGACCGAAACTCGACGCTATGGAGCATTGAAACTGTCTCTTCGGCATATGAAGGATACGTCCGTAGGAGGCTGAAGTGTGCAGTGAGTTCAGCATGTTGCTAGGTCTTGAGTAGTGCAGTGGGGGCTATATTGACGTGGAGTCACAATTTAGCAAAGTGTGTTTGCAGGAGGCAGAATAATGCGTAATTTGTTTAGCAAATCGAAGTAGTCCAAGGGGATGGTGGTCTCCGAAATGAAGAGAGATGTTGCTCCAACGGAATAGATATCCAGGAGGGATAAGTCCCGGCTCTCCAGAGGGATAATCATGTGTAACAGACCGCATATATTAAGGAGAAGTACCTCAAAAACAACAACTCCATGAAGCTCAATGGACCAAGCGAGCGACGAGGAGTCGTCGCATGATCTCACTTGAGAGAATGCATTGATGGATGCATTGCGAGATCAAGTGGGGGAGTGACCCAAAGCAACACAAATGAAGGCACACTTAGAGTCGATATGAAAATTAGACTCAAGGGAGGGCTGACCCGTGGAATGGTGAGCGCGAGGGCCATCATTAAGTCAATGCAAAAACGAGGAGCAGAGCAACTTGGGTGTAACTTGGTGAAGTACCCAAGCCGCATAAAGTGAGCCAGCATAGAAGATGGAACATGGAGCGGAGGCGCAGAGCTTTCCTTCGACATAGGTCAAGGACATGAACTCTTGCAGAGGCAAGAGTAGGATCATGTTATTCCATAGGTTCTTCATTCTGATGGAGAGGACTCATCTTGTATGGTACCAAAGACGAAGGGAGCTTCTGGGCACATGCACCTTATCTCGAAGAAGCATTTGATGGAGGAACTAAGGCGACTCAACTTGCGATCATAGTTGGGTTCGGAAGGCCTTGACACGGGGCAAGAGGACGTGGAGGTGGGTACTCTTGAAGAATATGCCACAGTGTTGCCATTCAAGTTGCCATGAAGGAAGCGGTGCGCAGCGAAGATTGTGCTGGTAGGGGCAGAGGCCCAGGATCCAGACAATAGTGCACCACTTTCAGCGAAGTCCATGGACTTCGGGAGCTACTAGGCGACGGATTGTCCTAAAGCGGTGCTTCATTTAGGTGTGACCCAAGAGCGGGTGGATGAATGTTGATTGCTAAAGGAGCGAACAAAATCGAAGGTGGAAGAGACCTTGCGATGTGTTGGCAGAGGCCACATATAGAGGGATCACAATTCGAGTTCATCCCACAAGGATCATAATACAATGGAGATGTCACCAGGAGGCGACATGGTGTAGCGGATCATGGTGGAACAATTCGTGACAATGCGATACACACGACATAGTCCTGTGAGGGATTAGATCATACGGAGGTATGATCGGGAGTTATTGGAAGCTCCACTTCGGTGAACAACACGACGGTAAGAAGGGCTATGGATTCAAGGAGTGAAGGCCATGGTACCGCATATGCGGGTCTTCCGTGCATGCATCGAATTTTGCATCGGACGAAAGCCTTGGTCATCAGCATATGAAGGTTGTGTTCCACCAAAAGAAAAGTTCGAATGCAAGTACCAGTGAGTCCCATAGGAGGGACTTGATCATGCAGAGGTATGATCGAAGCAGTTGGAGAGTTGAACTGCTCCAGAGCCCATATTCGCTTAAAGGAGCCTAGTAAGTCAAAGGACAAGGTCGAGTAAGCGAACGTTGCTACCAAGGAAGTCAAGGAGAACAAAATCAGTGCAAACCCTACAATGTGATGGTAGAGGCTATGCATGAGAGTTGCAGTCTATCTTTCCATCGACTAAAGGGAGCTGCTTGGAAAACACAGAGGTGTTGAAGTAGGGGGTCGAAAGGGGCGAGGAAATGACGACGAGCCCAGAGGGACTTAGCTACCTAAAATCAAGCATCAGTTAGACTGAAGGTGGACTCGAAGGAGTGCCATAGAGACATATCTACTGATCATGAAGAAAAGGGATGTAGATGCGAGGCGACGGATAGTAGGGCCATGGGCATGGCAACGCTATGGTACCGTAGAGGCGGGACTTCTGTGAAAGTCATTGATCCTTTGCTTTCATAGAGGGAGAGTGCTTGGTCGTCAAAGGGGCCGAGGAGGTGGAGCATGTAGAGGCAAACTCCAAGTACCGAGACAAGGCTAAAGGGCAAAGGCCAAGGAACTTCGTAAGATCGGTATCAATGAGCTTCTCATCAAGATAGCCGAAAGTGAAGGACTTTGGGTCATGCAAGAGTGCATGACCAAGGAACGAAGCAGGAAGTACGCAATGCTGGACTTTTGCTACTCAGTAGAGTAGGCGACAGGGTTGATGGAGAAGATGGTACAATCCCAGAGGCGACCAAATCTATTAGAGAATTACTCCAAGTTGGGGTGAAAACTCGGCATTCCAGAAGTTCGATGACATTGAGAAGATGAATCACAGTAGTTAACTCAATGCAAGGAGTGCAAACACTTCGAGTGCTTCAAAAGTATGAGCAAAGAGCAGGCGAAGGCCAGTAACCAGCTCGATGCATGGAGTACAACCCTTGAGGAGGCTGGCGCAGTCAAGTAACCATTGCCTTCTCAACTCTCAAGAGAATGGGCGAAACCGAGTACCCCAATTCTCTTATCTATCCAGCAGAGGAGCTTGCACATGTTCAAAGACCCTTAAAAGATAATGGAAGACAATAGTTGTCAAATCCTCACCAATGGTGATTAGTGCTACTGAGAGTATATCATCCGCTTCATTTCCCAACAGAATGCCAATCGAAAACGAAAGTGATGCGAACCTACTTGGAAGTGACAACTAAGTGAAATAAGAGTCAATTGGCAAATTATGGAGGAAGGACCCAAAAACATCAAAAGTTTGTGAGGCGATGCTCGTTAAAGCTCCAACAAGCATCCAGACAGTATAAGTAGCATGAGGCATTTGAGAGACTGACGCAAAATAAGGATGGTCTTTTCCTTCATTTGAAGGATCCGTACGAACCAACAGGGATCAACATAACTCAGCCAACCCCACACAAGAGTTAGAGTCATTGGCGAGTTGAAGCAGCATAGCGGATCAAAAGTTCGACTACTCAACAACAGTAGCGGAGAGCAGCAGGGAGCCAAGAGGCGCGTTGCAGCTGTAGCAGAAGATTAAAGACCTAGCAAAGGCAAGAAGTTGTAGTGTCGACAAAGGCTTTGACGAGGACATCGAAGAAATGGGTGAGAGAGAATGTCACGGACAAACATCTAAACAGGATGTTTGATGTAACGCTTATGTATGTCCGTGTCTTTTGGTATGTTCATACTTTGCACAATATGTAGAGGGACAACCAAAAACTTAATAGTCCCAATTTAGTTGGGTTTGGTGGCCGCTTTAGGCTTATAAATAAAGGTTGTGTCATATGAACAATTGTGAGAGATTTTCGATCTGTAGTTGACCATTTTGACCCTTTGTTGTGTAATTGTTTAGAGCTTGTAAAATCTGTTTGTAATTTGCATTATCTATAAAGTATTTCTTGAAATGTTTGCTTGTGGCTCCCGAGTGAAGAAAGGTTTCGGGAAGGCTGACCCTTGCGGACGAACACGCAAGGATACCGCACGACTTAGGTAAAACCATCTAAGTCCGTGACACCACATAAATGGAAAGACTAAATCCGTAAGCACCAAAAAGAATTGTTCCAAGTAGGTCGCCATAGATGGCAAGCCAATCAATAATGGGTTTGAATAAATACATGTAAAAATGAGGGTACATAGGATTAACACTCCATTTAGTAGAGAGAGGAGTGGTATTAGTTGGAACAAAATGTGGCACCAAAATCATCTCGGTGAGCAAAGCTGTCATCGATGTTTCCCTCCCCACTGATCATACAAGCACAACCTTCTACTTTGTTATTTAGTTGGAACCATGATTTAGGTAATGGGAAAATGTGTTAGAGAAACTCGAATCTGCCTTGCCAAAACATAACAGACGATTATGGAAAGAAACATGACTAGAAGTACAAGAGAACAGAGACTAGGAAGCAATGACACTACTCCCTCCTGCCGATTAAAACTGGCCCTTCCACCACCTCAGTTGGGATTCTGTTGCTCTTGGTTGGAACTCAAACTTGAACCTACCGGGCCGAGGCCCAGCAGCAGCGGCTTCGCTTGCTTCTTATCTTCAGCTGAATTTGAGCCCCCTTTTTGTAGTTGTTTTGATGCTGCCCAAGCACGTAATGGTGGCTCAAAAAATTTGCCCGCGACATCAGGCGGAGGCTGGGGCGCCTCCTCACCCGGAAGCACCATCAGACCCTTCTCTCGGAGGGACGATGGCTCATTGTAACATGTGCTCCAGAGGGAATCGACGAGTTGCCTCTCCTCCCTAGCAGCTCCAAGATCTTCGGCTGACATTGAGCTGATATTCTCGATACGGTTCTCAAGGATTTGTTTCAGCTTATCTTCTTCGGCTAGCACGGTGCTGCTTCCAGATGTCCGGTCCCGTGCAAGCTCCAGAAGGCCACCTAGAGCGGCTTCTCGCACATTCGAGTCATCACTGGAGACCAGATGCACCATGAGCCGTGGAAGCCCAAGTTCTGTAACAATATTGCAATCCAAATTGTTCTCCTTAAGCAGGTACTGAATCAAGTTAAGTGCCTTCCTGGACGATGATGGGAAAAAAAAAAAACTCATGATTAGAAGGCTGATGACATGAAGAATATGGCATCTGCTCTCATACGCACAGAAAAAGCATTAACTCGGTTATAGCAAAGTCAGGCTAGCAACCATCGCTAAACCCTAGCAAACCAAGATAAAAAATGTCAAACACTTAATGATAGCCGAGGGAACACTTAATGATAGCCGAGGGAACAGTGCTCTAGCGGGAAAAAAAAAAAAGAGGGGAAATGGAGAACCAAAACCTTTGAAATCTAACATTGTCCGAACTCAATGCATCTCTGAGCCCAGCATAACCATTTGCTAGACGAAATGCAGCAATTCCAGCCTTGTTGTTTCGAATCAGAGCTGCATCATTAGGCACCAATAAGAACAAGAAACAAAAGAATCATTTCAGACTATCAAGTTAGCATATGCAGAGAAAAATCAGTCCACATTTTGTTGTGTGGATTAGACAACATGGATAATAATAGATACATACATGATATAGCACCAAGAGCTTTTGTGCGAACAGCTAAATCAGGATCCAATGTAAAATTTGACATGAGAGGCTCAAGACCACTGGCTTCCATCACAAGTTGCTGACTGCGGGGATTGTTCTGCACAATGGTAGTTACAACATCTGCAGCCTTTGCTCGAATACCAGAATCAGAGTTTTTAAGGTAACCAAGCAGAGGGACTAAACCACCAATTGAGTGCAAATCTAGTGCATTAAGACCAAATAAATGATGTCATTCACAAAAAGTTAAGGGCTTAAATTTCTAACTAAAAACATCAAGGCAGAGATTAATTCTCATAATCAGCTGATAAAAAAGTTATAGTCAGAAAAACTAATCTCTTGTGACAAGGGCACGTGGATAGCATAAAGCATGAAGCAAAGCATGAGAAACAAACCATGAAACTATGATGTGATATGGTCAAAAGAAGATACGAGTATAGCTAACAAAATCTGAACTTTCCTTTAATCATGATCAAGCGCTTTGTACAGACTGTATTCAAGGAGCACATGGTCAAATAGGCTCCCGACGAACCAAAGGTCCCGATCTAATATGAGCCCCTCTAAAAGCAGAGATAACAAGTTCAAGCAAACCAAGAGTGTTACCACAAATATCAAGCCAATCAGAAGATCTGTTGGCTTCACGAGAAAAATGATAGACTACCATTCGGTGTCACTGTTTAAGCTTTCACAGGATACAAATTTCAAAACAAGACAAACAAGGCTCAGCATTTAAAACATTGTCTCTCATCAACATGGTTTCTGACCTCAAACGTAGCATTTTCCAGTAAAAAAACATAGATAAAAAGCAGTTTGCACTATATCCACAAGAAGTTATATCTAAGAACTCAGAAGAGAGTTTAATTAAATGTCATAACCACCTCAATTACAAAGCTATATACATCTATAAATGCAGAGGATAACAGAGGCAATAGAAAAGAGACACAAGTACGAAAAAAAAAAACTTTGGGATACATCATCCTCTGTGACCCTTTACATGTTATCTACATCAGATAGCAGATTGTAAGGCTGTTCAGAGTAATACGAAAAACACTTAAATCCATGGCTGTAGTCATCATATAAGACAGCCACATAACAGGGACTCTTTCTGAAGTGCCACAAAAGACAACGCAGTTGGCACATATATTTCAACTAGGAAAACATGCAAAAGCATATCATCAATGAATAAGGAAAAAAAAACATAATAAACATCTGATAGTGCCCAACGTTTATATTCCTTATGAACAGAACTGACTGATTAGAGGTTACTTAAAATCTGGATTGAAAGCAGCTGAGATGCCTGTGATTTGACATAGATATAGTTGAATGAACAGGTTTCATGACTTTGACAAGCATGACATTGAGAACATTAGAAGCCAGACCATTATACAGTTCGGCTGTACATGAAGCATGAATCCACATACTACGAAGTGTAATTGTAACACGAGATAAATGAATTTATTCAACCAGTGTTGTGTTAAACAACTTCCAAAAGAAAGCAAGTACAAAATCATTTACACTTACCATTTGCCATATCAATAGACTCAACATGCTCTTGAAGCTCATCCAACATTTCTGCAAGATACAAATAATCTTGTGAGTGATGAATATGAAAAAGACAATCTGCCAGTGAGAAAAGCAGACCGGATAATTTTATCATTTTGCCTTTAACAATTTATACCAGAAATAAATATACGTACACATATAGACACAGAACTGAAATAGCAAAAAACAATTCAGCATTTTAAGATTTAACAGATTATAGCTATAGAATGATTAGAGGATCATTCAACAACAAGAAGCATGATGTACCAACTATTTGGGCTCAGCTGACCAAAAGATCAATATTCATTAAAAAAAACAAGTTGGTCATTATAGCTGCGGAACCGACAATGATGGTCTGGTTGTCCTTGATACAAATTTTACCCTTGATAATAAAAAAAATTTGACATTTCAAGCTTGTCTCTATCAGCAGGAACAAGAATCTTTGACAATCTCTACAAAGAGCTTGAATCAGAATTTTAAGGTGCTAATATATGGTAAAATTTCTTTTATCTAAAAGAAAATGTCGATTCTTTTATAATCTATTGTTTATCTCTTACCTATTTAATCTTAACATGTGTAGATAGAGGCCATCCAGACATTAAGTGTTCTAATAGTTACCAATGAAAAAAATGTAAAAAAAGAGAAAAGAGTTAACCTTAAGTTGACTCGTCTAATAGAAGACTCAAGAGCCAAGTTCCAAAAATATCAACATATTTGTAAAAATAAATCAGCCATGATTTAAGAGTCTTTCTAAGCATTATTGCAATAAGATCAATTCACAACTAGGTAGTGAAAACAACCAAATTACCATTTAAAGAAATCATCTATAAATTTAAGTTCCCCTATACCTTAAATCCAGTTATATTTATACCTAATGTATTTTCAGGATCCCTAATCGAGATGAAAACAATCAATTTAAGAGAAGTTCTAACCCAGCACTTAACAAAGTTTCTATGCATTTCAAATCTCTCATGATGGTTTGGATATAGATGGAAAATCAATAACCTTCATACACAATAATATAGGTGATTGTTTTAAGTAGCCACTGCAAACACAAATGTCTAGCTGCTAAATCCTGAAATCAAATGATGAACTGGTTTTAATTGGAATATTTAGATCGAGACAACTGGTGTCGCTTCGAATGCACATGAGAAGAGTTGTCTAGTTTTCGAAGTTATGTCCGTGAAGGTTTTGTCTACTAACGATAAGTTACTCCAAGGCATTACCTACGATATCCTCCGGCTTGACTCCCTGCGCCTCCAAAACATCCTCCGGGGTTTTCATGACAGAAGTAATCTCCTTCATTCGCTTAACCACGTCGACGGTCTGCGCTTGCATCGCTTCCATGAACCACTTCCTATCCTCCTCGCTAACCAACCAATAAACAAACCAAAATCAAGAACAGCGACCACGCACGTGAATCGACTTCTTCGCCAGATCATGCAGGAGAAGCTCTTCTAAAGCCATCAAAACCCCTAGGGAAAGGGGACGGCCGATACAGGGCAAAGGGATCGGTGTAATAATACCTCAAGTTTCGAGGAGGGCGAGTCCCATCGGCATGGGCGAGGCTCCACTTGAGCAATCCATCCCACTTCAAGCCGTCGCCCGCCATAGTCCTTCTGACGCTCGAAAATTGCAAGAGGCCGACTGCGATCAATATCCTTCCTTCTCCTCCACCCCCGCCCCCAATTTTATGGTCACGACTAGGCCTTCTAGAAATCACGAGAAGGATGTAGAGATGGTGCAGAGTAGGGCTCGCAATTAGGGCCGGTGGTTCGACCCAATCAATTACCCAAGGGGAACCCATCATTCGAGGATTTGGACTTCAATTCTCGGCCCATACTCGACTTGGGCTTCGAGATGGATTGGATTTATTTTGACTTTGGATAGTAACGTTGACCATTGCAAGATTGAGTATCATATATGCAATTTAATGAAATACTTATAAAAAATATTAAATAATATTCCTTTTTTTGGTGTAGAAATTCACATCTACAACTTCTGTTGCTTTTTACCTGATTTAATTGGCATTTTGCTCATTACTCTTCTCTCTCTCTCTCTCACAATTACCAGTAAAATTAGATGTTTCCAAGGGGGAGATGTATGGAGTGGAGTAACATCAGATATCAATGTCACAAGCAGTCGATTGCTCCCTCAGCTGGCATTCCACCTTCTGTCCTGCTCATTGGGAGCACAGATTGATCCAGAAAAGGAGGCATGTGTTATCCCATGACGTAAAAGAAAGCATGCTTGCGTTCTGCTGCTCTTTACACATGGCTGCTGATCTTTCTCTGGCCAATTCCGATGGAGCAAATGGACGATGGAGAAGATGACAAGCTCACACTCGAGAAAAAGATCTCCAGCGTAAAACAGTTGGTCTCTCGCACCGGTGGGTCCAAAGTTGCTGCAGCAGCAAGCAAAAGCAGAGGATAAGGAACAGGGCTAAGTGGATGTGTGCGTCAACAGGGAGCACTGCGGCGCAGGCTCACGTGCAGTCAACCATCCTTGGCCTGAGCTCTGAGGGAGGGAGGAAGGAGAAAAAGATATTGCCAGAGTTCAAAGTCGAGGACCGTTTCCTACTGCTACTGGCACAGAGAAAGCCTCTTGTCTTTTCCCAGCATCTTCCGGGAACTGATGGCTGCTTTTAGTCAACTCCAGTGCTCCTTCCAGGAACTGGTGTTTGCTCTTTTTTCCTTTTGTTTCACCTTGGAGCATGGATTTATCTTATGTATTTTTGTCTGAATTATATGAAATTTTCTTGGTTTTCGGAGCATGATTGATATAGCATTGTTGATCTTTGCTTCTTCCCTTTGGCTTGTGGACCGGAAGGAAGTCCTCAGGGCGGCGGTGACCGACAGAACTTTCAACGCGGCACCGAGCTCTGTTGACCAGTAAATACTTTTACGACCCGAACGGAGAACACCCACCGTTTACCTTTTCGTTGGTTGGAGAGAGTTGAAGGTGGCATCGTGGGACCGCGTGTGTTGGGTGAGTGCCCCCGTCTTTGGTTTGACCGAGAGGCGTGTTGACGGCGTCAGTGGCACGCCCAATACGAATACGCGATGTAAGAGGGGATGGGTGACTCCGGTACCGTGAGGAAAAGTCCAAAACCTGCCGTCATCATCACGCGGTTCCGCCATTGATGCTTGGGCACCGATAATAAGAACCCCCCCACTTCTCCACCTATCCCTTCCTCGCCAGATCCCACTCTTCCTGCTCTCCTCGGTCCGCTCCGTCTCCCCCCGATTCTGGGATTTCGCCTCCGCGTCGAAGGATTTGATCGCGAGCGGATGGAGGAATTTGGTCGGTTTTACGTTTGATTTTGGGAATTTTTGAGGGGTTTGGGTTGGAGGTGGGATTTGAATCGTTTGATTCATTCAAAAGATCGTGTTTTTCGGGGTCTTTGTTCTGGGATTTTTTGAGGGAAAGGTGGGGTTTTTGTGGGTGTTCTTGGTCGGTTTCGGTGCCTTCTTCCATGGCGACGGCGTCGTCGTACTGGTGCTACCGGTGTAGCCGCTCCGTCCGGGTGTGGCCTCAGGACGCCATCGTCTGCCCCGACTGCGACGGTGGCTTTCTTGAGGAGATCAGCAGTCCTCCTCCCCGCCTCCACCCGGCCGCCGAGCCCCGACGCCGCCGGGTGCCCTCCACCGACGCTCACACGCTCGGCAGCGGCTGGTCCGCCGCGGCCGCCCGCACCCGCCAGTCATCCGAACTCAGGTTTGGCCGCAACCGCCGGTCCCCCTCCGGCGACCGCTCTCCCTTTAATCCGGTCATCGTCCTCCGCGGCCAGCCCGACGGTGGCGCCCGTGAGGCGGATCGAGCCACCACCAACAGCTTCGAGCTTTTCTACGACGACGGCACCGGATCCGGCCTCCGCCCCTTGCCTGAAAGCATCTCGGATTTCCTAATGGGCTCAGGCTTCGACCGCCTACTCGAGCAGCTCGCCCAGATCGAGCTCAACGGCATCGGTCAGGGAAGGGGGTGCGAGCATCCGCCCGCGTCGAAGGCATCCGTCGAGTCAATGCCCACCATAGAGATCGTCGACGACCACATAAGGAAAGACTGCCATTGCGCCATCTGCATGGATCCGTTCGAACTTGGGATCGAGGCCCGGGAGATGCCTTGCAAGCACATCTATCATCAAGACTGCATCTTGCCGTGGCTTTCGCTCCGGAATTCATGTCCTGTTTGCCGCCACGAGATGCCAACCGATGTGCAAGGACGGGGTGTGGCGGTGGCAGAAGGCGAAGAGCAGGCTGCTGCCGCGAGGAACGAGGAGGAGGCGGTGGGGTTGACGATATGGAGGCTTCCGGGTGGAGGTTTTGCAGTGGGGAGGTTCTCAGGGGGGAGAAGAGCAGGGGAACGAGAGTTCCCAGTGGTTTACACCGAGATGGACGGTGGATTCAACAACCGTGGAGCACCAAGAAGGATCTCGTGGACCTCAACAGGCAGTGGTAGGAGGAGGGAGAGCGGAGGAATTGGTCAAACCATTCGCAATTTCTTCTCATTATTCAGGCTGTCACGGTCGGCTTCCTCTTCCTCACAGCCGAGCTCAGATTCTCATCCTGCATTTTCTCACAGGGATGAAAGAGGTTCATTTTTCAGAAGGCGTTCGCAAAGTCGAGGCAGCAATTGGGATGGAAATGCCAATGTGATTTCTCGATGACGGTATACAAAAGTCGAAAGTTGGTGATTTTGCCTTTATGTTTTCAGTGTAAATATATGATATCCCCAAGCATTGTAGCATTGTCTGATCTATATCTCCATAAATTTATTGCCCGAAAGAATCAAGTAGATCTTTCGTGATGGAATATAGATGCTCTTATCATTTAGATTTTCTCCAAATTGTATCGGTTTTCGAGAATGGGATTTGAATACATCCCCTCTGGGAGCAGTGAAAATTACATCAATTTAAGAATATGAGACTTGCTTCAAGATTAATGATAAACATACCTCCAAATTTGATGTGATTCCTTAATCCTCCACTTTTTTGCCGAAAACCTGTCGATTGAGTCGATTGTAGAGCATGGGGATCAAACACCATGTCGCAGCCAAGCATGTTTTTGGGATGCTTTCCTGATTGTATCATGTTGATATCATTTTGATTACGAAATATGTTGTAGATTTGAAGAATCCTTGCATCTTATGCTACAGTGTCATGGTTCTAAATTAAGCTGTTCCTTTTAATACCCACATTTGATCATGTTAGTATACATTCTTGCTTTCTTCATCATAGTTAAAGTTTAAGATTTTGTTCCACAACTCTTAAAGTATACTCTATTTGAAATGGTCTTTCTTGCCTTGGGATGATTAACCTGCCAACTTTTTTTGTTTCTTGAATGGATAAGTTTTTCAAGGTACCATTGTAGTCTTTCTGGTCTAATTATCTTGAGAGAGAGTGATAGATGGTAGTCGGCCTTGTTGAGATGTACCGGATTATAGTCTGGCTTCTTCTTGATCATTGAGGGGATTGATTTGTTCGGTTCCTCCCAAGCTTTATCTTCTATTCCTACTTCGGGCTAATTAGTTGGCATGAATCACTGTATGCAGTAATGATGAATCATTGTTATCAGCCAAAGCACTTCTTTGTAGAACAAGTTTAGATTCTAAAGTGAAGTAGTTTGTGAGGCTTGTGTTCTGCAGAGAAGATTTTGAGAGTTTTCTTGTTCTCCTTAGTAAACTTTGGTTTGATTCAGTTGCTCGAAAGACCACCAATTAGCCATAAACATTGTTGGCCTGTTTAAGGAGAAATTGTTTTGCAAGCTTCAGATCCTGTGTGATCTCTTCCTACATGCTAACTACTGATACAAAAACATTGCCTGCACTTCTTCCACAGCTGGTGGCAACCTTGCAACTTGATTTCTTCTTTGTACTGTGAGAATTGTTTTATCAGCCATTCTTTTGACAGTATTGATCTTGGCTGACATGCCACTCTCTGTCTTGCTGTCAATGTTCAGGTGAGAAGAAGTATGATACAAGACATGATTATTGCAGGATTAGCATCCATTATATTACAGATAAGTGGCAGTTCTTTTGGCAGGAACAGTTGACCATGAAAAATCACCTGTTGGCAGCATAAGAGAACAAGTTTAGTGACATGGAGAGATTTGAGCTGCAGAATCAACACCAACAGTGATGGAAGATACCATGGGGATCTTCTTCACATATGATTGAAGCTGGTCCAAGAATGTCATTTCAGTGTGAAGGCTTAAACAAAATATGTGATCTTGGGAAATCTGGTTTGTTAAACAAGCTAGTCCAAGTCAATACTTTGTGGTCAGCAGAACATGAGAACCTGTTATCCCACCAGTTAATAGAATTAAAGGAAGATGCACCTGGTCATTTTGTTGCCAATTTCTTTTCCTCATCTTTGAATTGTCCACCACATTGTCACGACCTTAGC